AACTATGAGATTGTGCATATAAACAGAATCTCTACAAAGGGATCATCAGAAATCTCTAACAAAAAGGAATTTTTAAACAATTGTTTTCAAAGGCTGTCATTGCTTTAAAAATGAAACTGATAACACATAGTGGCGACTTTGATTTGTCTTGATGTTTTATTCTGAAACTAGATAAAGAGTAGCTATTTTAGAGAATTTCCTGGTATTGATTAGGAACTGCACGGGATTTTTATTTTGGTTGTTTCAGTTGTATTTTATTGTCTCATTCCTATTCTTTTTCTCCCTAAAATAATGTTCGTATCTATTACTGCAAATTTTTTAAAAATGAAAAACTAAAGGTTGTGTTTCAGTGCTTAAAAATTATTTAAAAAGGAAACTTTTTTTTTCAAATAAAGAGGAAGTTCAGAATTTACCAAAGTACTGTACTCCTATTTTTAAGATAAAGCATGGTGTTTGGGCTTATACATGAATACAGTAAAATGAATGTGTACCAAAGTGGAATGATCATGGGCGTTAGTATTAGAGTTCTTGCTCAAATTATGTCTTCCACTACTAGTTATGAATTTTGGGTAAGATGTACAGTCTCTCTGAACCTCAGTGTCCTTACTGTAAGAAAGGGAATAATAAAGGCTACTTAGCATGGTCATTTTAGAAATTTAGTGAAGCAGGTGCTCAAAAAAATTCCAGCTACAGTGATAGTAGATGTTATTTCTCGGATCCAAGTCCCAGCTCTTCCATCAATTTGCTGTGTAATGTAGTCAAGTCTCTTTACTTCTAAATGTAGAATGTAGAGATGGGAATGTATGCTCCCTATATCCTTTGTAGGATTTAAGTTCCTGTTTCTGACGCACTATGGGTCTACATTTGAGGGACTGTCAAGAAGAACAGGCAGCCTGAATGGATGCAAAGGTGGAATTTGGTGGACTTTAACTGCAGCCACATTTATTCAGTACTCGTTATTAGACATTATTCTAAGCCTTGTCCATGTATTAATTCTCATAACAACTCTATGATTAAGGCACTATTTTAATCCTGTTTTACAGGTGAAGAAACTGAGGCACAGAGAGGTTATGTAATTTGCCCAAAGTCATCCAGTAAGTGGTAGGGCCAGAATGCAAACCAAGATAGACTGCAGAGCTCAATTTGTTTTAACCATTATGCTTTATTTATTACTTTTCTAAGGGGATTGGCTTACCGACAACTAAAATCACAGGTAATCCCAGCACTTATTCATTTTTGCTTTTCTTCCAGAGTATACTCTCATATGTTTACTAGAGAATGTTGGTTCCACAAAGGTCCAGAGCTGTATCTATTTCCTATCAGTAAGTGTCTGATGCTGAGTTCTTGCATTCTTTCTAATTAACCCCTGAAGTCAGACAGATGTGGGTTCATTCCCCACACCCATACTAACTATTTGATTTTGGCAACATTACTTAACCTCTCCAGGTCTCAGTTTCCCCATCTGTAATGAAGGGAATAAGTGGGAATATTAATGATAACACTTAACTCACAAATGTGAGAAGAGAAGTAATGGATGCCCAAATGACTGCATGCAGGATGTACTGCATGCAGGTAGGATCAGTGTTAGTTTCCATCTTGTAGTGAACTTTGAAGGGAGCCCCAGAGCTTAAGAACGGCTTCTTCACTGTCCCCTTGTTCTGAGTCCCACAGCGGATTCTCTGCCCCAGGGCCCCAGTTATGCCTCCTGTCTGGGATGCTCTGGAAGCCGAGAAACTGTTCACAGATATGGCCAAGCACACAGTCACATTCCAGGCTGCTGTAGAAGCAAGAGACTTTGAGGATATGATCAGCTGAGGCTGAGTCACGTCATCCTTACAGCCTAGAAAGGAGGGCAGGACGTTCTCCCACTGCTGATGGGTTTTAGCAGTAAATGCATCCATGGCTTAATGCCATCCTTTTATTCCTCTTGTAAATGTTCTTTTTCAAAAGTCCTACCTTTCTGAATGAGATTATTAAAAAAGAAAAAAAGAACAGACCCGTCAAGGCTTTGCCTGTTTTCCATTCTGTACCCGTCTGCCTTTTCTTCCTCCTCTTCTTTTGCTCATTAAGTTTCCTTTCTGTGTAACATCATCTTTTCATGCTATGAATTTGTGGGTGTTACAAAAAGATATTGTTAAAAGCACAGTAATTATTCTGAAGTTTAATATAGTCAGAGAAAAGATATGACGGAGCTGCAGGTCCCCCAAGAGCAGATACTCAGAGAGGATCTTAAAATGGAAGCTTCCCTTGTGTCATTTTTGCTCCATCACCTTCAAGATAGCACTTTAATCATAGAGTTGTTCCAAACATTAATATATGAGAAAGGCTTAGAATAATGTCTAATGACAAGGGCTCAATAAATGTGGCTATAGTTAAAGTCCACCAACTCCCACCTTGGTTCTCTCAGTCTTAGATCTTCTCTTTCTAGTCTTTTTTTTCCAGAGGCTGTATTTTTTTAGCATAGTTTAAGGGTCACAGCAAAATTGAGGAGAAGGTACAGAGATTTCCCATATACCCCCTGCCCCCATGTACCATGAGAATGGCACATTTGTTACCCAATTGATGAACTTACAATGACACATCATGATCACCCAGAGTCCACCGTGTACATCATGGTTCACTCTTGGTGTTGTACATTCTCTGGGTTCAGACACATGTGTAATGATATGTGTCCATCATGGTGGGATCACAGAGTATTTCACTGCCCTAAAAATCCTCTGTGCTCACCCCAACTCCTGACCGCTACTGATCTTTACATGTCTCCATAATTTTACCTTTTCCAGGATGTCATATAATTTGAATCATAAACAGTGTGTCCTTTTCAGATGGGCTTCCCTCACTTAGTATATGCACTTAAGGTTTCTCCAAGTGTTTTCATGGCTTGGGAGCTCATTTTTCTTTTAGAGCTGAATATTCCATTGTCTGGATGTACCACTGTTTATTTATCCACTCACCTACTGAGGAACACTTTGATTGCTTCCAAGTTTTGGAAATTTTCAGTAAAACTGCTATATACTATATCCATATACAGGTTTTTATTTGGGCATAAGTCTCCAACTCCTTTGGGTAAATACTAGGAAGCACAATTGCTGGATCATACAGTAAGAATATGTTTAGTTTTGTAAGAAAATACCAAACTGTCTTCCAAAGTAGCTGGTACCATTTGCATTCCCACCAGCAATGAAGGAGAGTTCCTATTGTTCCACATTCTCACCAGCTTCTGGTGCTGTCAGTGTTCTGGATTTGGGGCATTCTGAAAGATGTGTAGCAATATCTCATTGCTGTTTTAATTTGCATTTCCCTGATGACATATGATATGGAACATCTTTTTATATATTTATTTGCCAGTTATGTATCTTCTTTGGCGACATGTCTATTAAGATCGCTGGCCCACTTTGTAGTAGGGTTGTTTGTTTTCCTAAGTTCTTTATATATTTTGGAAAATAGGCCTTTACCAGATGTGTCTTTGGCAAACATTTTCTCCCAGACTGTGGTTTGTCTTCTCATTCTCTTGACATTGTCTTTTGCAGATCAGAAGTTCTTAATTTTAATAGAGCCCAGCTTTTCAATCGTTTCTTCCACAGATCATGCTTTTGATGTTATATCTAAAAAGCCATTTCCATACCTAAGGTAATCTAGGTTTTCTCCTATGTCATCTTCTAGGAGTGTTACAGTTTTGCATTTTACATTTAGGTCTGTGATCTGTTTTGAGTTAATTTCTGTGAAGAGTGTAAGTTTTGTGTCTAGATTCATTTTTTTGCATGTGGATGCCCAGTTGTTCCAGCACCATTTGTTGAAGAGAGTCTCTTTGCCCCATTACATTGCCTTTCCCCTTTCCTCCTTTGCCAAAGAACAGTAGGCTATAGCTATGGTGGTCTATTTCTGGGCTCCCTATTCTGTTCTATTTATCTATTTTTCTGTTCTTTTATAAATATAACACTGTCTTGATTACTGTGGCTTTCTAGTAAGACTTGAATTCAGGTACTGTCAGTCTTCCAACTTTGTTCTTCTTCAATGTTGTGTTGACTATTTTGAGTCTTTTATCTTGTATTTGATATTCTAGGAAAGCTTTGAGTTTCTTAGTGGGAAAGCATGTAATATGATGTAGCTATAGGTTTTTTGTAGATATTCTTTATCAAATTGAGGAAATTTCTCTTTATTCCTAGTTTACTGGGAGTTTTTATCATAATTCGGTGTTGTATTTTGTCAAATGCTTTTCCTGTATCTATTGATGTGATCGTGTGATTCTTTTATTATCTTTTAGCCTCTTGATGGAATTTAAGAAATGTTTCTTGGAATTCAGTTCTTAATGGAATTCAAGATATTTTTCTTAAATTTCATAAAATCATATCACAATAGGGTGGTATTAAACCTCTCAGAAGGATTTACAGATGTTTGTGATGCTTGCAAGCAATGATATTAGTAAACTAACTCTTGGAAAACAAAACAAAGCAAAACAAAACTCTAATTTATAACATTTGCCATTTTCTGTGGTATAAATACTCCCACTATTGCTAATTTCAAGCTACGAGCATGAAGTCACTGTATGTGGAGTCGAGAAGAAATTCTCATGACTGTCCCCCATGAGCTGGTTTAAGACCAGTTCCAACACACCACTACTTTCAAGTATACTTTTGAACAGGGATTATTCACTCAAACCTCATCTGAGGATACTATTTACCAGAAGCTTACACAAGAACAGAGAAGCCAAGGGAAAATGATTTTCTGGGAAGTTTGGACATCTTTCTGATTTCTCACTACATCACTCAGAACTTGACCCATTTATGCACCTATGAAAACAATCTAACTCTCTATGCAGTTATGACAGTTGCAAAGTTTTTGTGGCATGAAACCTTGAGAAGCAATAAGTTAGGCTAAGACATCATTTAATCAGAAAATCCAAGACACATTTTGTATGATACCATTTATTAAAGAATAAAACTTTCCTCCTAGGATATTCTATCAAACTATGAAATTCATTTAAATTCATTTAGAAAGAGCTAGTCCAAATACTAAAAAAAAAAAAAAGCTGCTGGGTATTTAAAATACTCTGGTTCCCAAGTTTTAAAAAAAGGGACAAGGTTATATAGTGAGAGTAGAGAAAGCAAGACGAAGTGAGATCACCCATGACAATCTGTCTTATTAGCCATTATGCATTTCACCATCTGCAACTAAAGTCACAGAAGTCAAAGACAAAAACAAAAAAAATGCCCAAAGACCTCAGACTGCCTGATGTTGCTCCTAGAATCCTTAGCTCTGTCCATTTCATGTAAAAAATAAATTAAGTATAAATAAGGAGGCAAGGGGGCTGCTGTGTACTCAGGTGTGGTCACAGATGTACACTCAGAGGGGGCATGAGAATGGGGCCGAATGCCTTTCCTCTCCCACACTCACTACACAAAACTCTCCTCCATGTTGCTGCAGAGTAAGAAGGAGTCTACAAGCCGGGGCTGGACCAGCTGCTGGAAGTCGGAGTCCTGGAGGCCTTCAGGGCAGACCCCAGCCAATCTACGCAGAGCAGCCTGGGGAAAACAGAAGAGAGAACACAGGTTAGACTGGATCTTGATCAGCTGCCACGTACTTCCTTCAGCTGCCCTGAAACACGCATTTCAGGAAGTGGCTCATTTACCTGCCAACTGGAGCTGATCATCACCTCGACTTCTTAGTGATCTGTTCCTTTTGGTCACCTGATCACCATAAACACCTTATCTCTTGGCCGCCTGGTTTCATTTGTACCTTGGTCACTGTGGTGGATGTCATCTGAAAATCTTCATGGTTTTTTAGTCATTTTAGCAATCTGGTTATTTTAAGGATCTGGTCAACTTAAGTTCAAGACTTGATAATCCTAAAGACCAGAATTGCCAGAAACAGTGACAGAATAATATTCTTATATCTAGGTCCCTAGAGTAACATTCAAACAGCAAGGATGATTTATTTATCCATAAATTCAACAAAGTACTGAGCAAAGCATTATGGGACAGGAAGGACAAAAGAAAGAGAGAGGAAGGGAGGTCATATAGCTAAAGGAGATGGACATTCTGCCAGCAAGAGGGGAATGACCAGGGAAGAAAGGTACAAGCAGAATGAAACCACTACCCAGGTCCTCATCCACAGAACTTTTACTCTTCCCTGAGGGTGCTATCCTGTTTTATGTCCATGTGCCCTTGCTCAGCAATGCCCCATGACATGAAGTCCTTCCCACCCTTTTCTAGCCAGCAGTTGCATTTACCCTACAAGGCCTGGCCTGCTGCCATCGTTTCTGTGAAGCCTTTTCTGATTCCTTCAAGCAGAGACAGTTCATGCCTCCCCTGTGCACCCACAACCCTAAGCTGACCTTAGCTTTCTCATACTTGATTGCTACTGGTTTTAGGTATTTAACTCCCACACTAGAATCTGAGCTCCTCAAGGGTAGAGATTCTGTTTTATTCTTCTCTGTGCCTACAGCAGGTAGAACAAGAGTTGAAACAGGCTCTATATTTGTTTAAAAAAAGGAACAAATCAAGTACTTTAAAATTGAGTTCTCCTGCTAGAGGAACTTGAAGTTTAGATGTGAGTTATACACCTACCTGGCCCTCTTTACCAGTTAGCTGAAGCAATGCACACTAAGTGCTCAGTGAATGTTAACCCCTTCCCTCTCCTCCAGCCTGTACACAGCAGGCTGCCCCTGGGAAACAAGGAGAGGTGGGGAATATCCAAAATGGTAGAAGAAGCAAAGAAGGGGAAATGCCAACACTTCCTGTCTACACATAGTATTGCATTTCATCCTTATAAGATATTGCAAGGTAAATTTCATGATCTCCAATTTGGAAATATTAAGACTAAAGCTCAGAGAAGGAAAGTGGCTTTTCCAAGAGCACAGAGCAGTCCAACTCCAGGGCCCTCATACATAAACACACAGGCAGGACAGGAGGCTGCAAGCTCAGGACACTAGGTTATATTGAGTACAAAGCAGGCATGGAGTTCATTACCTAAACAGGGGAAATCGCCAAGTTGGTAAAAAGAGAGGAGAGCTTAAGATAGTTGTTGGACTATCAGATATAGCTGGGCCAATGATGATTGTGTGTTCGCTGGTTATTAACTCTCCCCATTTTACTCACTAGACCAGACAGAATTAAGTTCTGTGACGCTGGATGAAAAATATTATATCTTCACATTCATCAGCCTCTAATTGAAATTTAGCCTTCACTTCAATTGTGCATGTACCAAGAAACCATGGCATCTCAGCCATCCCTGACTTGTTCACCAATAGAAATCACAGGTATTTTCATATCCCATTCCTGTTGTCAGAGGTCCCTTCAGGTATCATTTCCACTCATTGCTAGTCAAGTTACAATGCTTATTAGGCCCACTACTAAGTCTTATTTAATTAATTAATTTAGAAGTACGTATAGTATATCATGTGTTTAAATACCCTAATCAAAGATCAGGAACAAGACAGGGATGCCCACTCTCCCCGCTTTATGCAACATAGTACTGGAGGTCCTAGCCACAGCAATCAGACAACACAAAGAAATAAAAGGCATCCAGGTTGGTAAGGAAGAAGTTAAACTGTCCCTGTTTGTATATGACATGATATTGTACATATAATCCCTAAAGAATTCACTCCAAAACTACTAGATCTAATATTTGAATTCAGCAAAATTGCAGAATACAAAATTAATACACAGAAATCAATGGCATTCCTATACACTAACAATGAACTAGCAGAGAGAAATCAGGAAAACAATTTCATTCACAATTGCATCAAACAGAATAAAATACCTAGGAATAAACCTAACAAAGGAAGTGAAAGACCTATACCCTGAAAACTATGGGACACTCTTATAAGAAATTAAAGAGGACACTAATAAATGGAAATTCATCCCATGCTCTTGGCTAGGAAGAACTAATATTGTCAAAATGGCCACCCTGACTAAAGCAATCTACAGATTCAATGCAATCCCTATCAAAATACCTACAACATTTTTCTATGAACTAGAGCAAATAGTTATAGAATTCATATGGAACCACAAAAGACACTGAATAGCCAAAGCAATCCTGAGAAGGAAGAATAAAGCTGGGGGATCTCACTTCCCAACTTCAAGCTCTACTACAAAGCCACAGTAATTGAGACAATTTGGTACTGGCACAAGAACAGATCATCAGACCAGTGGAACAGAATACAAAGTCCAGATATTAACCCAAGCATATATGGTCAATTAATATATGATAAAGGAGCCAGGGATATACAATGGGGAAATGACAGCTGGTGTTGGCAAAATTGGACAGCTACATGTAAGAGAATGAAACTGGATTACTGTCTAAGTCCATACACAAGAGTAAACATGAAATGGATCAAAGACCTGAATGTAAGTCATGAAACCATAAAACTCTGAGAAGAAAATATAGGTAAAACTCTCTTGAATATAAACATGAGCAACTTCTTCATGAACATATCTCTGTGGGCAAGGGAAACAAAAGCAAAAATGAACAAGTGAGACTATATCAAGCTGAAAAGCTTCTGTACAGCAAAGGACACCACCAGTAGAACAAAAAGGCATCCTACAGTATGGGAGAATATATTCATAAATGACATATCCAATAAGGGATTGACATCCAAAATATACAAAGAGATGTAATGTAGAGGGGTGCACGGGGAAGGCAGTATAGCACAGAGAAGACAAGTAGTGACTCTATAGCATCTTACTACGCTGATGGACATTGACTGTAATGGGGTATGTGGGGGGGGACTTGACAATGGGGGGAATCTAGAACCACGGTGTTGTTCATGTAAGTGTTTATTAATGATACCAAAAATAAATAAATAAGATTTTTAAAATAAAAGAAAATAAATACCCTAATCATTATTTTAATATAATTGGTTTCCTTTTTAATTCTATATATTTTATCTTATGAACTTAAAACATGATTCTGAGAAGGGGTCCATAAGTTTCACCAGATAGCCAAAGGCACAAGAAAGCTTAACTTTGTTCTGCATATACAAGAATAGAAATCCCATGAGAGCAGAGATTGTTGTCTTTTTCTCTCTTTTCTTTTTCTTCCCCATAGCCTAGAAGAGTGCATGGTACACTGACTCACTCAGTAAATATTTATTGAATAAAATTTATAGCACATAGTGACCTACTCAGCATCACACAGCTCATTAATGGCAAAACCAAGACAGGTGTGCCTGACCATGAGGCCCTGCTGTTTCTATGGCCACACAATACCCACCCCAGAAATGAATGAGCTCAGTTAAGACAAATGACAGGGAGTGAAGGGGGCTTTATGGTGGAACAGCTTGAAGGACCCCTAGATCCACCACTTCTCCCTCAACTTCTCTGAGGATCAATCAAGGATATGACACTCTTTTCCGGAAGTTAAATGAGCCGTTTACATGGTGGCTTCCGTGAAGCTGCTCTGCTTTGCAATTTGTTGTTACAGCCCCAGAAGGGAGAAATGTAAAGACAAAGCATGTATTCCTCATCTGGGACCATCACCCCTTCAGGTGGGCCCAGTCTCAAGGAGAGGGTGCATGGGTCAGGGTGAAGATCCTGGTGGCTGGCTGAATGACACTCTCCATCCTGCCCTACTGACCCAAGTCCTGTTCCACAAAGGAGGGGAGCTACAAAGCTGGAAAAATGCCAGTAAAGGGCTCTGTCCCAGAGAAAGGAGGCTTTTCTGAGTGTCTGCTCTGCAACAGGCAGGAGGCATCCACAGCCTACCACCCAGGTGTTGCGAGCACCATGGCATCACTGACACCACCTAGAATTCTGCAGTTGGCCACTCCAGTCTCCATCAGCTGTAAAGATTCTTCAGAACCTCAAAGGGTCACAATTACAAAGAGAGCCCCCTATTTTCACATATATAACCTCATACGATTTTTCTGCACAATTTTATGAATTAAGTGAAACAAGAACTACTTTTATGACTATTTTAAAAAGAAAACTTGAGCCCAGAGATTCATGGCTTCTGCGAGCCAACCATGGCAGGAGAACTGGCCCCTGACCTGCAGTCCCACAGCCCAGGGTGAACGCTGGAGGAAGGCTGAGGACTCACCAAGCAGGCCACGAGCACAGCATCGCTGCTGTTCCTCTCAGAGGGCGACCTGCAGAGCTCGATGAGGCGGGACATACCTGTGTAACAGAGAACATCATGTCTGGGGTGGGGACGGGCCTGGCCAGCCTGGCCCAGAGGCACCACCACCCCTCTCTCGCAGCTGTCTGAGTGGGGCCCTGTGGGTCAGCTTCAGGGCCCCTGTCAGCCCTGCTGGCCAGGAAAGGGGACTGAACCCACCTGGAACAAGCCTGTTCTGCTCCCTCAGGGGTGAACAGACCTTGGTCAGGGCCAGGACTGCACTTAGGGAAAACTACAGCAGCACGTTTTGAGATCTCTCTGAGAAAGAACTTTCCTGTGTACGTATTTGTGATTCTACCAGCTCAATATCTCATCTTCGTATTGTTAACAGTGGAAATTCCAGATGCCTTCCCAATAGCCTATTTTAATCAGAAAATACATTATGACTAAAATTATAGAAAAGTACAGATTGAATGGGTTAATCTTTCCTAGGCCTTTACAGAGGAAAGTTAAATGATTTTGCATTTCAGTGCAAATTCAGTTTTTTAAAACTCTGAAAAACAAAAACAAAACAAAGAAACAACTCATAAGGTAGTAATAAAAGGTATACAGCCACATTCTCTATATTTTTTCTCCATAAAGCCTTCATGGAACCAGAACCCTCTGCTGCCCCAGGACCACCTCTTACAGGCCTCAGGGTGCCTGGGTGAAAGGTGACAGTGCTCTGCCCATTCTCAAGCCTCTACTGGCAGTGTCTTTTCTCAACCTTCACATGAGAGTAGCTCCTCAAACCGCCTTGTTAAAGCATTCTTTATCATTATTAAAACATTCTTTATCTTGACCCGTCCTGATGAATGTGGGCTATTTCTCCTGTAGGCCAGAAATGCCATTGACATGTTTTGAGCATCACTGTGATATTCAAGAGCAAATTTTTCTTTCCATATCTGCCACCCCCTCAGGCTATAACCCTGAGGTCAGGACAACGGTGTGGTGTAGTTAATGTCATATGCCCAGAACTAAGAACAGAGCCTAATGTAGGGTAGGTGCTCTGAAAATATCTGTTTGTCAAACAGATGACTAACTGAACAAATGATATGATATGATGAGAGAATTAATAAATGAGCTAAGAGCGAATAATAAAGTGATGAATGAGTCAGTGAATGAATGCATGAACAAAAGGACAAATTAATGAGTGAATGAACCAGTGAGTGGATAAGTAAGTAAACAGATGAGTAGGCTAATAACTAAATAAGTGAATGAATGAATGAAGGGATGTGGTCCTAATTAACAGGAAGTCTGCAGGTGAGCCATTGTTCTGGCCAACTTCAGCCTTGTTAAACCCTTCCTCTCTCTTTCTCTGGCCCCAGGTTATAAGAGAGACCAGAGGATACACCAAGGACCTCCACCCCAGCTCTTCCCAGCATCCAGAGACTGCACCCAACCAACTCCTGCTCCGAGTCCTATGTTGCCATTGTGAAAGCAGCCTGCTCACATCCCCAAGCCCTCCCTCCACTCCTGCACAGCCAGCCCACTTACAGCTCAGCCGCACGGCTTCCCGTGCCACGTCTGGGTCTCTGCTGAGACGGGCCAGGGTCACTGCGGCCTTCTGCTGGACTCGCTCGCAAGCTGCCACCTCGGCAGGGGTCCCAGACCTTGGCTTCTCGGACAGCATGCCCATGATAAGCTGGACCCCTGGGCAAGAGGCAAGGAAGAGTTGGCACCTGCCCCAGCAAGGAGCCTTCTCAGGGGGGCCGGAAGGAAGGATGGCTGCAGAACTCAAGCAAAGGCTGTCAGATGACTTAGGGTGTGTCAACCACAGGGAGGAAGCTGAATCAGGCCACCTCTTCCAGGCCTTAAGCCCTGGGGTTTCTCTGATTCCATGTACCAAGTCACTACACTTGGAAGGGACATCTGGAGGACACCCCTTTTTATTTTTGTAAGGCTATTACTGAGTTTTTGCTACATGCCTGGCACTGTCCTCAATGCACAGTAAATGCACCATCACCTAACACCTCCCAGTAGCCTTATAAACTGGGTACTCTTGTAATTCCCTTTGAGGCCCAGAGAAAAATGTCCTTTCCAAGGTCCCACAGGTAGCAGTGGGGAGCTGGTATCATGAGCCCAGATAATCTGGATATTGTCTTTCATCCCTTCACTTCTGAGGTCCGCTGCACCTGAGACAGGTCCACAGGGGATGGGGCCTCCTGACAGAAGGCAACCAGATCCTAGGCTGGATAAACAAGAGATCAAAGGCTGCAGAGGGGATCAAACACTGGAGGAGGGTGGATTTGTTGGATTCAGAGTTAGGCCTGAATTTGGTTGGCTGAGAAGCCTTCCCACTCTCCTCTGAAACCAGATCTGCCTTCTGATTGTCCTACAAATCCACATACACATCCACTCCCACCTCTGTGACTTTGCCCACTTAATTCTTCCTGCAGGGGGTGCCCTTTTCCCTCTCATTCTCCATCTAAATCATTCCCATCCCCTAGCTATAGGATTCCATCTCCTGTGGTACATATTCCCTAACTAACCCAGCCCACACCCCCTTTCCTGTACCCAGAAGCACTTGCCACCTTAACACTTAAACTAGACATGACCCACAGATGTATTTTGAGTTTTATTTTTTGCAATATACAGTGTCTTTTTCTTTAATTGCTAATATGCAAATTGAGAGATTTCTATAAAGTTCGTATTTCCAGATTCTAAAAAATTATTTCCTGATCTGACAACACTGGGCCCAACTTTCTACACAACAATTTGCAGAAGCTTATTAAGCTTACTCTTTTAAATGAGTTAGACCCAGTCCCTGCTGAGACCACATTATCCATTTATATTCCTTGCCTGGGTCCTGGAGGCATCTAAGTTTGCAACCTCTGACTTAGACAATGGAGCTGAAAGGATCCTTCAAGTTCTTTTATATCAACCCTTCCCTCTCCTCCATTTCACAGAAGAGCACCTGGGGTCTGGAGAGAGGAAGTTATTTCCCAAGTTCACACAGGAGTCAGTCCCAATCCAGTGCCTCAGCCATGTGCCTCTCTGAACCTTACTTAAAACCAGATGCAATTTCTAACTCTCCTAGATTCCAGTGCACCAGGGCTGTGAGTTATTTAGTTATGGACCCTGAGATTATTCAGTCCTGGGGAGGGGCCATTTCTCTCTCTGAGAGCTTCCTAAGCAGGCTCAAGGGACTCTGCAGTCCCCGCCTTAGCCCCTATTAACTTTGCCACCAACACTCTCAACCTCGGGACAAGGTGTTTCTCTTCCAAGCCTTCTCCCTGGCCACTGAATGGAGCATGGTCTTCAGGATCCCTATGCCCACAATGTCCCTAAGATGAAGTTATGGTTGTTAATGTCCTGAGGCATCATGTTATGGCCTGTGGGGACATGACCAGGGGCCACCAAAATGACAACTTTGGGAAGTGCCACAAGCTTACGGCACTTTACTTAGTCCTCCTGGTTAAGACTCCCACAAAGAAGCCATTTTCCCAACCCCAGCATTGCACCTGGAACCTGACAAAGAATAGTTTCTCATCTATTAGCAAGTAAGCTCCATAAGCCAAAGATTTTTGTCCCTTTCCTGCTTGGATATATCTAAAGTATCCAGAATAGTGTTTAGCTCAAATATTTGTTGAATGAATATCAATGCATGAATATGAATGTATTCATCTCAAAAGTCTTACAAAGGTATAAAAACAAAGTTTTTTAGATATATACTTTATAAGTCTTATCTGGAAAAAGATAAGGTGCTCTGAAATTGGGACTGCCTAGGACAATCCAGAATGAATTTCTTAAATTCTGATCAGGCTCAATGCCAGAAAAGAAGCCTGAGGGTTGTGGGCAACCAACACTCACACACAATTTAGGCAGGACAGACATGAAAGCACCAGGCTGCAAAGCAAGGCACGTCAGAGTCTCATGCATCCCGGTAAGAAGGCTGCCATGTTATCTCTATGAGGTAGGTATTACAATTGCTCCATTTTGCAGATGGAAAAGCAGAGGTCATACAACTAGTAAATGGCAGAGACTGGACTCAAGCCCAGACAGTCTGTTTCCAGTTTTCACTAGTTTCAGTGATTATGTTATCATGCCATCCCCACTCTGCCACATTATTTCATTTTTGTTCTATCATCACTTCTGTCAGGTTAGGCTCCCCTTCTAGACAGTGAAATCATCTAGGACAAAGACAGGGATGTATTTATCTCTGGGGTCATTTGTTTAGCACAATGCCAGGTACAAATTAGGTCTCAACAACTGTTTGCTGAATGAGTGAGACAATAGTACCTCGTAAACCATAAAACCCTCTATAGATGCCAGGCATTCCAATCCCAAATCCAGACGCCTCTGGAGACCCACTCCCGCTGTCCACTCGAACTTGAGTGCTAAGGAAACAGGCTACAAATGATGCCCCCCAGTCTCTCAGCCTCAGCTGGCTCGGTGAAGTTGTTCATTATTAGCTCAATCACATAAAATTAACACAAAATGATGTCTTGCAATTAGTAATAGAGCCGTGGAGGATGGGGGAAGTGTATGTTTGTTAGAACAGCGGGCAACCTGAGAGAAGGGGGTTTAACAAGAGCAGAGGCAGCTGGCCCAGGCTCCCAGCTCACTTGTCCTCATTAGCGTCTCTGGTTTCCAACTGGGTGCTAATTGCTCCCTTATTTCCCAGTCACAGGAAGCCCTCACCACTCTCTGTTCCCAGCTGCAAGACGCCACCCTGTCCTCCAGCAGACTGCTTGGATCACCTTCCTGGACACCGAAACCTGGCCCAACATACCTGGACCTTGGCGACCCCCTCAGCACAAGGTGGGGGCAGGGGAGCAAGTGGAAAAGACATGCTCTCGGAAGAGGGGTCAAGGGATCCAGCTTACCCTGACCTGCTCCCCCACCCTCACCCCTTCTCAGGTACTTCAGTTTCCTACTGAGGCCAAATCACACATAGGAATGACTCAAAGTTAGAATGCATCCTTTTGCAGGAACAGATTTTTACTTTTAGGAACATAATGAAATATTTGCCTTCTCTTCACCACTCTAGTTAAAATAGCAATAGGCTGTGCACCCCCTCCAAACCTTGGGCCTACCTTCCACCCTTCCTGCTTTGATTCCTGCATGGCACTATCACCATTGGACTTTCTTGTTCATTGTCTCCTACTAAAACTAAAGCCCCATGAAGGCAAATAAACATACACATATTGGCCAAGTTGTACACATATTGGCCAAGTTGTACACATAAGCACAAATATTGCTCATGCAATTGTGAAGCTACACCTGTACATATTTACATCCCTATACAAAGTCCTTCACACAAACACAAAGAAACGTGGTCCTATATTGCTACATAACCCACACGCCATGCACATTGCTGAGAAGACATACCATTCTCCTGAATGATGTCAGAGGCACACTGCTCCAGGACAGACATGTTTGCCAAGATGGTCACAATCTGGAAAAGAGAATTGGAAAGCTAAGAAAAGGGGCACGTGTGGGCCAAAGGTGCTCTCCACAGATCATTCAGCCAGGGGCTACAGAGCTTTCCTTTAGCCTGTGATTCTTTACCATCCACCTGGCCCATCTTCCCATGGTGTTTTTTTCCATCTTCATGGGCTCCTGCCATTCAGATGTATTTCGCCAGTGACTGGCACCTAGTCATAAGCATGTGGCCCTGGGATGGTCCCCAGGGACCCCAGGACCCCACTGGAGAGAACAGTGGCATGAGTGAAGATGGAGGCCCCGTTATCTTTCTGCAGGGTTCCCTCTGAACCCAGGCCCTCAAATGCAGACAGAACTTGCAGGATCTTGGCTAGCTCCTGCCCTGCATTGATTTCCCCCAATCCTTATTTCTTACCCTGACACTGAACCCCGTCGCCCAACTTTCAACCTGAAATTAATGGAGACTGAGGTCAAGTTAGAGAGCATGTGTAGGATAAAAGGGCAGCATTACACCCTGAGAATCAGGTATCGCATGGCATCTGGTAGAAAGTTCCTGCTCAGCTGCACTTTACAAGTATTATCCTGGATTATCTATGTGGCTCCAATGTAACCACAAGGGTTCTTATGAGAAGGAGACAGAAGGGACAGAGTCAGAAAATGAGATCTAATTGGGGAAACAGAGGTCAGAGTGATGTGGTGCCAAGAGCCAAGCAGTGCAAACAGCCTCTGGAAACCGGAAAAGGCAAGGCCGTGGATTCTCCCCTAGAGTCTCCAGAAGCCACGCAGCTCTGTCAACACCTTGATTTTAGCTCCGTGAGACCCTTGTAGGGCTCTGACCACCAGAACTCCAAGATAAAGTTGTGATGCTTTAAGCAACTAAGTTTATGGTAATTTGTTTTGGCAGCAATTAAAATAAATAAACTTTATTATTTAATAAAATTTTAAATTAAAATTAAATAAATAATAAATTGATTTTTAAAATACTAACCAATGGAATTGGCAAAGATGCAGCTAATGTGAGATCATTCCCAATGGGAGGCAAGATCCCAGGGCAGGAGGAGCCCTCTCCAGCAGAGAACACAACACACTTTGTAATTAAAATAATTAATAAAAGTAATAAACACTTCTCATTGGTACAGGCCTCTCTCCCTTAAAGGGCTCCTTCAAAGCCCGTGGCCCAGTTCTGACCAGACGCCATGCTCTCACCTCTGAGGCAGCAGCTGGCAGTCTCCTGTGGACAGTTCAGGCAGCTTAAATGGTGAAACTGGAATAATGCGTAGTAATGTGTTTACCAAGAAAGAGTACTATCTAGATTTTAATTGGTTCAATATTGGCATAACACTCTGGATGATAAATATATATAACAAGTCTTTTAATCAGAAAGAAAAAGTTTGCCATATTAATAGTACATCTATCTCCCCCACCTTTCTCATCAAACACATGTTGACATGCGCTTTCTCAGGCTGCTGTGACATCCACGTGCGTCAGCCCCTGCCGGCTCCGACCTTGGGGCCTGGCTGAGTAAGCATGACTGAGGTGGGTTGCCTAGGAAGGACAGAAGGATATGCTAGAAACTTTATTCTGAGAGCAGCTGTGCCCCACCAGAGGTTTTATGAAGGGGGTGACCTGCTCCTATTTGCATTTTAAAAAGACAATGGGATTAAAGGAGGTTTAGTCCTTAGAAAGCTCTTTTTCCCTCTTTTAAGATTGTATTTGTGGGTAGAATGGAAGGAATTAGAGGGAAAATATGGGCTGAAGATGCAATTAAATGGAAGGTTCCCCCAAGAAGCATAAAGTGTGCAAAGTCTTGTAAGGAAGGAGACACAGGGCCAAGTCCGTGTCAGATCACAGTTCATCTGGCTGTCTCTGGACTGTTACAGTAGCAGGGAGTATGGACTCTGCTCCTAGGACACAGGGACCACTAAACCCCAGCCATCACTATCCCAGCCTCTGAATAAAGACATTTGCTTGACACATACATCCAAAAGGGAGGGAGGGCAAAATTAAAAAAAGGAGAAGGAAACCTTTGTCTGCAGCATCAGGTTCATTACATGGCAATTATTAGCTGTCTCAGGCACAGGTAGGTCTTTGTGTCAGACTAATTTAGATCCTGTTAATGAAAATTACTTCCTCTTTGCAGAACCTGTACCCCATGTGGTTTTCTGAGGTTCAGATGAAGTATTCAATTAAGCACAATTTGAATAAATGCCAATTATGCCCTGTTTTGAGCCCCCTTTTGAAACATCCTATGCATGTGATCTAGAGAGCAAGGGGATCAAAGTTTCTCCTCACAGTTAAGCTCAGGATTTTAGGGACAAGCTGGGAGTTTAGGGACAACTGGTTCACCTCATTGAATGCAAGATAACAACACTGAAGGATCCAGGCAGTTTTCCCCTGGCCAGGCTAATTCAGTCCTAATCCTCCTAAAGGGCGTTATTCCCTCTGCAGGTTATTTGGTGAAAACAGGACATCGGCCTCAAGAGAGGTCCTAGGTGAAAGGCAGTATAGTGTAGTAGCTAAGAGCATGGATCAGTTTAATTTCAAATCTTGGCTCTATTTATTTTCCATTTAATCTTGGTCATGTACTTAACCTTTCAATGCCTTAGTTAATGAAGGTGTGTAAATTTTCTATTACTGCTGTAATAAATTACCATAAATTTGGTGGCTTAAAACACTGTAGTTTTATCTTGGAGTTCTGGTGGTCAGAGTCCTACAAGGGTCTCACGGAGCTAAAATCAAGGTGTTGACAGAGCTGCGCGGCTTCTGGAGGCTCTAAGGGAGAATCCACGGCTTTGCCTTTTCCGGTTTCCAGAGGCTGTTTGCACTGCTTGGCTCTTGGCACCACATCACTCTGACCTCTGTTTCCCCAATTAGATCTCATTTTCTGACTTTGACCCTTCTGCCTCCTTCTCATAAGAACCCTTGTGGTTACATTGGAGCCACATAGATAATCCAGGATAATACTCCTATATCCAGATCCTTAACTTAATCACACCTGCAAAATCCCTTTGGCCACATGCTGTAGCATATTCACAGGTTTTGAGGATTAGAATGTGGGCATTTCGGTGGGAGGCATTATTTGGCCTATAATAGGAGATAAATTTAAGATAATTCGTAAGACTGTTACGAGCATTACGTGAATTAATGTTTTATCAAGCACCTCAGAACATTCGTAAAATATAATGAGTATTGCTTACCTCTGGGAAACAGCTTGAAAATACATAGACCCTGAAAGATTACGTCAAGGAGTAGTAGCTAATGTCATACCCAGTGTTACCAAAGATGTAGCTAATGTGAGATCATTCCCCAAGGTAGGCAAGATCCCAGCACAGGAGGAGCCCTTTCCAGCAGAGAACCCAACAAACTTTGTGCTCACTACTTCCTGTACCATTCTGAAATCATTTTTCCTTTGGCCTCCCAAGGGCTGACTGACCACCTTAAGGAAAGTGAGGTGAGTAGCAAATTGAACCAGAACAGCAGGGGTCTTCCCATGTCACTGATTTAAGGAGAGATGCTGTTGTGCACGGAGAAGGAGGCTATCAAAGCCTTTTGATGTCAGCACACATGCAGAGGAGAAGGTTTGCTCTGCACTGGCCCAGGGCAGGTGACTGGGGAACCCTAGACCACAACCCTTGATCCCATGGTGTGACCCAGGCCTGTCCAACATCCTCAGCAATGTCTGCCTGTGCTCTCACCCTTATTTTGCCTGTGTCCCTTTCATTGGCTCTTCTGTAAACTAACACTGAAGACCACTTTACATAAAAGACAAATGAGGGTTACCCAGGCCACCCAAACAGAGGCAGGTGCTCTGATCTGATAGAACTTACAACACAGAAAATGTGACAGGTATTAATAAAAAAATTATGATTGCTTTTATGCTGTGCACTCATTAAGACAAAAAGGCCAACAATTCATATGATTATAATTAGAATTATACTTTAATTGCTAGATGGAATACTTAGATTTCTATTATCACCACAGTAACTCTCCAAAAGCTATAACAACATTGTCACTCGCAGCCCTGAAGCCAGCCAGGAAAATCCCTTCTAGGGGAAGCCCAGTGCTTCTCTATCCTGCTGTCTTGCCTTCATACCACTTCTTCTACTAAAGCAGGAAAAAATCAAGATGAGGACATTGGTCTGAAGAATGAAGGGGTCAGAGGGAGAAAGGGTATGTTTTCTTTGAACGCATTTTCTTCCCCAAGGCCTCAATGCAGGGAGCTCCAGGAGGTCCAGCCCTCTCCTTCCTCTTTTTCTTCTCACCGAGCCTCTCTCTCTTTCTGATCTGCATGGTCAGGGGCCCAGCAGCTGAGAGCTGAGCAGGCACAGAGACTAGGAGGGCACCTGCCTGCGCTCTGAGACAACACACCGCTCCTATTCTGGTGCTTGTGTTGCCAGGCAGCTGCATCTGGGGAGGTCTCTTCCTGCACACCAAGTGAAACCTCAACCTGGACAGAGGAGAGCTCTTGATCCTGGATGAGAAAGAATTCTTGAGCAGGTAGAAGAGTGTGGGAAAGGAAGGAATTCATTAAAGCAAAAGAAGCAGAGAATGGCAGCTGCCTTGCAAGCAGCAGAGAGCAGGGAAGAGCAGAGGGAGGGAAGTTCACTGAACTCCTGCTTGGCACAGGGAAGATCCCTTGCCAACTCCTAAAACCAGGGTCACCTGGCATCCAGTGTCCACTTAGATCTGCACAGCACAGGAACTAAGCCTACCACCTCAGGATTTGGGGGAGCTGCGGAGCACTGGATGGAGTGAGACTATATTATGAGAACTGCCCAAAGGCAAAGAAAGGAGATTTTCAGTCAGGCTACCGAAGAGCATGATTGTACAGCCACAGTCCCGTCTGGATCACCCAGGCCATGGGAACTTGCAAGCCCAAATCAGAGCTCTCAGTAGCCCCTTCCTGCTTATCTGGAGTAGAAGAGAGGCAGAGTGAACACTTGTGCTTAAGTCTGGAAAATAGAATGAAATAGGAAAGTGACAAAGATACTTACCACTGCAAAAGCACAGAGA